ACAACAAAAGAATGCTACAATGTGACCAAGTGGGATTTATTCCAGGGATGTGAGAAGGGTTTAACATCGGCAGATCAATCAATGTGATACACTGCATGAACTGAATGAAAAATAAAAATCATATGACTGTATCAATAGATTCAGAAAACGCACTTGACAAATTCAGCATCTTTCATGATGAAGACTCTTAAGCACATTGGGTATACAGGGAACATAACTCAACATAATAAAAGCTATATATGACAAGTCTGCAGCTAACATCATATTCAACAGTGAAAATTTGAAAGTTTTTTCACTAAGATCAGGAACAAGACACAAATACCTATTCTCACCACTTTTACTTGATATAATATTGGAAGTCCTAGCCAGAGTATTTGGGCAAGAAAAACAAAGAAGGACATTCAAGTGGGAAAGGAAGAAGTAAGACTGTCACTATTTGAAAACAATATAATATTATATATAGAAAACCTTAAAGACTTCACAAAAACTGTTAGCATTAGTAACAAATTCAGTTAAGTTGAAGGACATAAGTGAAAGTGAAAGTTGTATTATAGTCCATGGACTTCTCTAGGCCAGAATACTGGAGTGGGTAGCCGTTCCCTTCTCCAGGGGATCTTCCCAGCCCAGGGATTGAACTCAGGTCTTCCACACTGCAGGTGGATTCTTTACCAACTGAGTTACCAGGTAAGCTCAAAACTGATCATTGAGCAATCCCACTTCTGGGCATACACACCGAGGAAACCAGATCTGAAGGAGACACGTGCACCCCAATGTTCATCGCAGCACTGTTTATAATAGCCAGGACATGGAAGCAACCTAGATGCCCATCAGCAGACAATGGATTAGGAAGCTGTGGTACATATACACCATGGAATATTACTCAGCCATTAAAAAGAATTCATTTGAATCAGTTCTAATGAGATGGATGAAACTGGAGCCCATTATACAGAGCGAAGTAAGCCAGAAAGATAAAGACCATTACAGTATACTAACACATATATATGGAATTTAGAAAGATGGTAACGATAACCCTATATGCAAAACAGAAAAAGAGACTCAGATGTATAGAACAGACTTTTGGACTCTGTGGGAGAAGGCGAGGGTGGGATGTTTCAAGAGAACAGCATTGAAACATGTATATTATCTAGGGTGAAACAGATCACCAGCCCAGGTTGGATGCATGAGACAAGTGCTCGGACCTGGTGCACTGGGAAGACCCAGAGGGATCGGGTGGAGAGGGAGGCGGGAGGGGGGATCGGGATGGGGAATACATGTAACTCCATGGCTGATTCATGTAAATGTATGACAAAAACCACTACAATATTGTGAAGTAATTAGCCTCCAACTAATTAAAAAATAAATTAATTAATTAATAAATGATATTAAAAAACACTGATCATTGAAGGAAGGATATAAAATTGATATGCAAAACTCTGTTGCATTTCTACATAATAATAATAATGAACTATCAAAAGAAAAATTATGAAAACAGTCCTTTTGTAATTGTACCAAATGGAATAAAATACTTTGATAAAATAAGTTTAACCAAGGAGGTGAAAGACCTGTGTACTGAAAACTGTAAGACATTTATGAAAGAAATTGAAAAAGACACAATTCAATGGAAGAAACATTCCATGCTCATGGGTTGGAGAAATAAATATTGTTAAAATGTCCATACCACCCAAAGCAGCCCACAGATTTAATACAACCCCTATAAAAATGTCAATGGCACTTTTCACAGAAATAGAAAAAGAATCTAAAATGTGTATGAAACCATAAAGATCTGGTTAGTCAGCCAGAGCAAACTCAATAAAGAACAACAGAACAAGAAGCATCACATTTCCTTATTTCCAATTGTATTACAAAGCTATAGTAATCAAAACAGTATGGTATGTTTATAAAAACAATGAAGCAAAATAGAGATCCCATAAATAAACTAATGCATAAATGGTCAATTAACTTTTGACAAAGGAGCCAAAAATATATAATGGGGAAAAGATAATCTTTTCTGTCAGTGGTATTGGACTGGATTGCCAAATGCAAAAGAATAAAACCAAACTTCTATCTTACATCATACACAAAAAAGTCAACTCAAAATGGATTAAAGACTTGAATGTAGAACCTGAAACTACAAAACTCCTAGAAGAAAAGTTAGGGTGTAAACTCAACATTGGCCTTGACAGTGATTTTTTTAGATTTGACACCAAAATCAGAGGCAACAAAAGCAAAAGTAAATAAGTATTATTACATCAAATTAAGACCTTTCTGCTCAGCAAAAGGGACAGTCAACAAAATGAAAAGGCAGCCTATTAAATGAGGGAAAGTATTTTCAAACTATATACATAATAAAGGGCTAATATCCAAAATATTGAAGTAACTCATACAACTCAAACAGCAAAAAAAAAAAAAAAAATTAAAAATAGACAAAGAACCTGAATAGGCATTTTTACAAAGATGACATATAAATAACCAACAGATATATTGGTATATAACACAGGTATATATTAATCTCAGTGTTATTAATGAGGGAGATACAAATCAAAACCAGAATGAGATATCACTTCACACTTGTTAGAATGACTGTTATCAAAAAAAACATGAAATAGCATGTGCTGATGAGCATATAAAGGAAAGAGAACTCTTGAATACTGTTGAAATGTAAATTGCTGCCACTACAGAAAACAATATGAATTTCTTCAAAAAATTAAAAACAGAACTAACATATGATCCTGCAATTTCACTTCTGGGTATTTATCAGAAGGACATGAAAACAGGATCTCAAAGTGCCTTCTGTACCTCCATGTTCAAAGCAGCATTATTCACCAAGGTCAACAAATGGAAACAACGTAAGTGTCCATCAGTGGACGAATGGATAAAGAAGATTACAGGACAGAGAAACAGAGAGAGTAGAGAAGTGGTTTCAGGGATTGGAGGGCAGAAGAAATAAGGAGAGGTGGTTTAAAGGACATGAACATTCAGTTGCAAAGATGAACACAGTCTGAAGATCTAATGTATGACATAGTGACTATAGTTGATAGTACTGTACTGGGTAACTGAAATTTGCTAAGAGCAGACTTAAATGTTCTCACCCACACTAAAAAAAAGTAATTATGTGAGATAATAAATGTGCTAATTAACTCAGTGGGGAGAAATCCTTTTTGTAACATATACATATATCAAACCATTATGATGTATACTTTAAAGATCTTATAATTTTTTTTGGTCAATTATACCTCAGTAAAGCTGAATAAAGAAGAAAACTATGCTTATATAAGAAATGTGTGGGTTGTTAGACCTACCTGTGGATTTTGTAGGAAGGAGGTATGAGAGAAGGGGTTTTTATAAAAGCAACCCAAACAGCTGCGAGCTGTACATCAAGCATGTGTGTGTGCATGTTCAGTTGCTCCAGTGATGTTCAACTCTTTGGGACCTTATGGACAGGCTCCTCTGTCCTTAGGATTCTTCAGGCAAGAATACTGGAGTGCATTGCCATGCCCTCCTCCAGGGGATCTTCCCAACCCAGGGATCAAACTGACATCTCTCATGTATCCTGCATTGGCAGGCAGGTTCTTTACCACTAGCACCACCTCTTTCTTTTTTAAAAAAATTAATTAATTTATTTTGATTGGAGGATAAGTACTTTACAATATTGTGATGGTTTTTGCCATTCATCAACATGAACTGGCCACACTCCAGATGTCTCAGCCCTGGGGAATCTTCTCACCCACCCAAGCCCATACGTTACTCAGAGATGCTCCCAGCCTCTCAGCATCTGTATGACTCCTCGTATTCCTTTCTCCTCTTAAAAACACACATTTCTCTCATCTCATACTGAACAGTTTTGCTTTTCTCTCTGTGTTGTATAAGTTCCTGAAAATCCCCTGAGGTCCTCTTCTCCCTGAAGCTGATCATAAGGCATGTTTCTAAGCAAAGGACTTTCCACCTTGGAGGTGAGGGTTGTCAGTTGTCAAGGCATTCTTGTCCCAGCCATGCAATGAAAAAGTACAGGTTTCATGTCTGTATCAAAGGAGTAGGATGCCTGCCTTAACTTAGAAGTCAAAGAAGTTGAAGGACAGTCAAAGTAGCCAGACAAGGTGGAAGGGGGGACAGAGGACTTGAAAAGCCAGGGTGATGGAGACAAGGATATAAACATGGGGAAAGATGCAGATGCATCACCCCTTCCCCAGAAAATGATCTCATTTTTGAAAAGCCTTTCAGGGGATCTTCTCCACTACTGTCTCCTGTCACTTTTACCCCAATCCCTGGGGCTGCCCAGAAGGACAAGGACAGTTGGATAGCATTCCTTGGACCATTCCCTGGTGGCTGAGATTTTCAATGATAAAGTTGTCTTTTTTTTTTTTTTAATTCTTTAAAAAGTTAAAAAAATTTATTTTGTTACTGAAGGATAATTGCTTTACAGAATTTTGTTGTTTTCTGTCAAACCTCAACATGAATCAGCCATAGGTATACATATATCCCCTCCCTTTTGAACATCCCTCCCATCTCCCTCCCCATCCCACGCTTCTAGGTTGATTCAGAGCCCCTGTTTGAGTTTCCTGAGATGTACAGTCTGGCAAATAATGTGCCAGTCAGCATCTCCCTTCCTTGTCCCCCACCCCCAGGCCTCTTTTTCAATGTGAAAACTCACAGAACTGAACCGGCCTCTGATGACTCCTTCCTTCGCACTCTCTGTTCCATCTGGGTAGAGCCCCTGGGTGGGAGCCGGAGCCACACTGGATCCAGCCGCCTCTGCCTCTGCCAGCTTCTTGGCCTTCCCCGCTGGCAGCTTAGGTCACAGTCAGACTTCTCTCCCTACCAGCTTCCCCAGGGCATCTCAACTTTCCTTGTCTCGGAACACTGGGCCTGCCCCAGCCTATACTGAGCCTTTGTGCGCATGAGAGACACCCCGTTGGGGCCAATGCAGAACTTGGCCAGAGGAGCCTGGGCCGGAGTTCAGTGGCCCCCTGACCAGGCCCCTCTGGGCAGCCTGCAAACTGCACAACGGAGCCAGGCAGCCTGCTTACAACCAGCCTGGGAGGGTGGCCAGGAAGTAAGAGCTCAGCCTCTCTGGGGAGGAAATTGAGGCTCAGGTTGGCTGAGCTGAATGAGTACCTGTTTCCTGGCCCATGATTTAGGCAGATGCACACACACCACCCTAGGGGAGAAACCCTGGTTCAGCCTGACAGGGTGCAAAGGGCCAGGCAGATGTTCCAGAATGTCACCTCCACTTCTACGCAAACTTCGGCTTTCTGAAGCCTCTGTTTTGTTGTCTATAAAATGGGACCACAGATTCTCATCACACAGAGCCATAACGGTTAAATGAGAGAACGGATAGAAGCTCCCAGGCCTGAGGCTGGCACAGGACGATAGTTGGCCACCTGTCCCGAGCCCTGAGTGGAGGCAGCAAGCCAGGAGGCCCAGAAGGCTGATGTGGAGGTTCGAGCGGAGGGAGGAGGACAGAGCTATGCTCAGTGGAGGCTCCTTTTCCTAGTGACTCACAGCCTGGTGACTAGCAAGGCTGGCAGGCAGCACATCTTGGTGGGGAGGAAGCCCCCCCCTCCCCGCTCCACAGAGTCAGCATATTGTGGGGGGGTGGAGGGCAGCCTGGTAGGCACGACACAGCTCCTGAGAAATCTGTTGCAGTTTGAGAAATACAGAAAAACAGGAAACACTCTGGGCAAATATCAAAATAAGATTTCCTGTAGTGTGAGGGTCTGGGAATGGGTCCTGGTAGAGAAAGATTGTATCAGGGATGAGTGTGGTGTACCAACCTGGGCTCCACCTAGACCCAAAACTCAGCAGGGACAGGGGAAAAGTCAGGTAAGACAGTTCCCTACCACACCACCTGGAGAACCACGCCTTGTGGGATAGAAGCCTGACTCCTCCAGCCCAGGGACCCTCTCTTGGTCTTTGGAAAAACGGGTGACTTTCTCTAGACACTCATGTGGCCTCATAGGGGCTAGATTTGTCTTTGTTCATTCGTTGAAAGCAGATTCATGGAACACTTATTCCAGACACCGTGCTAAACACTGAGGTTACAGATACAAATAAGATAGACAGCAAATCTTTTTTTTTTTTAATTACTAACATGATGTGAAAAGCCAATTAATTGGAAAAGACCCTGATACTGGGAAAGATTGAGGGCAAGAGGGGAAGGGAGCAACAGAGGATGAGATGGTTGGATGGCATCACCATCTCAATGGACATGAGTTTGAGCAAGCTCCAGGAGATAGGAGGACAGGGGAAGCCTGGTGTGCTGCAATCCATTGGGTTGTAAGAGTCAAATACAACTAGCGACTGAACAACAACAATGCATATGTGAAAGGTATATGTGTGTGTACATTTGCTGTCAATCTTTGTGAGTTTATTTACATATATGGCTGTGTTTGTATATGTGTTTTCATATATGTACTCATGTATATAAGTCTGATATGCATGCAGACTTAAACACTGAGGGGGTTAGGGGTACTGACTTTCTGCAGAGTTGAAAATTTGAATGTAGCATATGGTTGGGCCTCTGTATACAGTTCTTCCATATTCACGGTTCCACAAACACAGATTTGCTGCAGCTATCATGTCACACTGTATTTTTTTTTAAATCTGCATATAAGTGGACCCATGCAGTTCAAATACATGTTTTTCAAGGGCCAACTGTATAGGTGTGTATATGTTTAAGCACATATGATTATGTATGTAAGTCTGTGTGGGTAGTTCTAAGTGTTTCTGTGTATATGCTTTTCTCCAATAACTAAGAAGAAGAGGTGAATTCTCTGGGATGGGTGTGAGGTTTATGGGCAGAGAAAGGGGAAGCAATTGTGGGGAGCATTTGATCCAAGGATCTGGGGAGCTGGGAGATCATGCTGCTTCCTGTCGCCCTCACTGAGGACATAAAGGGCCATGTCGATATAAGAGACTGACCACAGGTGAGGGCAGAAAGGAAGCCAGGACCCAGGAAGGCAAGGCTAGAGTCAAGGAATTTGCCCAACTCAAGGGCTAGAACGGGCAAGAGGTTAGACCTGCCATCGAGGACTGGGGACTTGGCAGTTAGCAGAGGCCTAGAGGCGTTAGAGGGCTTACCTGGTAGGTCAGACGGTAAAGAATTGGCCTGCAAAGTGGGAGACCTGGGTTTGATCTCTGGGTCAAGAAGACCCCTTGGAGAAGGGAATGGCTACTCATCCCAGGAGTCTTGCCTGGAGAATCCCCTGGAAAGAGGAGCTTGGCAGGAGCAGTTAGAAGGCTAGGAGTGGACCAGAAAGCACCGGATACCCATGAGCTCTGGCCAATGGGCCATGACTCTCTCCATCAGAGCACAAGGTGATTTCTTAGACCAAGGCTGTCTCACGCAGAGCCTCACTGAAACTTCCTGCAGGGTGGCCCCATCGCCTGGCTTGGGAACCAGTAAGAAATCAGTGTCTGAATGTAACTTGGCTCTTCCTGCCGCCTCCAGTGGAGACTGAAACTGTGGCATAGGATGGGACAAGGGTGGCCGAGGAGCCCCAGACAGGCCAGAACAGGATTGGGGGAGGGTCAAGACAGGACACCAAGGTCACCTAAAACTCTATGACTTTTGTTTATTATTGTCTTTAGTGTGGTTTGTCACTTGGATGGGCTTCTCTGAAATTTATATTCACGTAATATTGTTTTTATTATGCAGTTAATCACAAGACGGAAAGGAAAAAGGGAGTGTATCTGAATGCTTCTATTTCATTTGCTTAATGGAGCGCTCAGAGTAGGAGAGAGAAAGCTCCCTAATCATTTATTTTAGTAATCAGAGTTATAGTCCAGAGTTTCTGACAGTGACATCCAGCCGTTCCGGGCAGGGAGACTGACGGTCTTTATCTCAGTCCCCATGAATGGAACCAGACATGCCTTCAAAGCTGTGCTGTCTTCTGGGAGTGCAGATAACAGTGTTGATAGGAAGAACAGGGCTGAGGGAAACGGCAGAGGTACACTCTCCAGCCCTCTCAGGGCTTGGAAGAGAATTCAGTCTTACTTTGCACAGTATCTCAAATTGGTGGTTTTGGGGCTATGGGAGGAATTTTAGATATTCACTGCCAGCTCTTCGGCCTGGAGCTGGATTCCCTTTCAGCCCTGGGCTTGTGAACTTGAGTCGGCTTCCAGGGTTGCTTGAGTCTGTTCTCAGCACAGGCCTGCACCCCTGAGATAGGTAGTTTCTTCTACTTGGCTTGATTTCTAGGCTGTGAGTCCACATTTCTTTTCCAAATGAGACATGCATGCATGCATGCTAAGTCACTTTGTGTGCTGCGCTTAGCCACTCAGTGGTGTCCGACTCTTTGTGACCCCATGGACTGTAGCCCACCAGGCTCCTCTGTCCATGGGGATTCTCCAGGCAAGAACACTGGAGTGGGTTGCCATGCACTCCTCCAGGGGATCTTCCCAGCCCAGGGATGGAACCCAGGTCTCCCAGACTGCAGGCAGATTCTTTACTGACTGAGCCACCAGGGAAGCCCCAGAATACTGGCGTTGGTAGCCTATCCCTTCTCCAGAGGATCTTCCCCACCCAGGAATTGAACCAGTGTCTTCTGTATTGCAGGTAGATTCTTTACCAGCTGAGCTACCAGGGAAGCCTTTGTGACCCTATGGACTGTAGCCTGCCAGACTCCTTTGTCCATGGGAGTCTCCAGGCCAGAATACTGGAGTGGGTTGCCATGTCCTCCTCCAGTGGATTTTCCCGACCCAGGGATCGAATTCATGCCTTTTTGTCTCCTGCATTGGCGGGCAGGTTCTTTACCACGAGCACCACCTGGAAATGTGCTAGTTGATAAGTTCACTGGTTCTGGAGTCAGGCTAATTGGGCTCAGTTAAAATACTGAGCCCCTAGTAGGTGGAGTCTTGGACAAGTTACTGGGAATCTCAGCTGGCTGATACCACAAGGCAGTATTCCCTAGTGATAAAAGAAGTGACCTCCAGAGCAGACCTCCAATGTGTACTTGCTAAGTGACCTTGAGCGGGTTATTTATCTCCATGGCCCAGTTTCCTCATCCACAAAATGGAAGTTATAAAAGTACTTATCTCACCAGATTATTATGAGGATTGAGTCAATAAATATATACATATACAAACACACACATACCGATACATATAAATAGCTCAGAAGAGAGCACTGAATATTTGATCTTATTTATTTGACTATGTCAGTAAAATGGAGATTAGGGGGGTACCCACGTAGCCTGGTTGTTATGAAGATTCCGTGAGTCGGTGTTTATAAGATGCTTTGCTTACTACCTGGCAGACAGTAAGCTCTCCATAAATGCAAGCGGTTGTTGCTAATGAAATCAGCCTGGACGCCGCCGCCGCCGCCGGGGTGAGGGCCCAGACAGCAAGACGATTCCGGCCAGACGGGCCCACCCACCCATCGCCTCTCCTAACGGGAGGAGGTCTGGGCGGGCTGAGCCTCCTGACAGGAGCAGGGCTGCTGCAGAGACACAGCTCAGCTCAGAGGCCGCCAAGCGTTCCTCTCTTATCGACCCAGGGAGGCGGCAGACGGAGGGGGCCGATTCCTTCATGAAAGAAAGATGCCTGCGCCTCCGAATTCCCGCCGGGGCGGGGCGGGGGGTTGCAGACGGAGGAGGAGTGGGCGAGCGTGGGCAAGGGGCCAGGCGGAGGAGAAGGCGGGAGTGTGGGTGGGGCGGGGAGCGGAGAGCTGGCTGGGCTCCTGCCGGAGGGAAGCGCGCTCTGTAGGCGCGTCTGCAGCCGCTGGATGTCCACCTGGCGCGTGCAAAGGCATCGTGAGCGCGGGCCGGCCCCTCCCTAGTCCGGGGAAGACCCACGTTCAGAAAGGACCCTGGCAGAGCCCAGGGCCAGGCCGAGTGCCCCCTGAAGGTTCTGGGGTTGAGAGTCGGCTCCCTCCACCCCTCCTGCCCGGCGAGGAGCTTCTCGCTCCTTCTTCTGAGGATTCCAGCCGAGCAGGCCTGAGTGGACCGGACACAGAGGGGACGAGCATGGACGCGGAAACCCAGCGGTCCCGGCAAGCGGAAGGCGCAGGGGCGCCCTGTCCTGTAGAGCTGGTACCAGCGAGGCCCCCACCCAGTCCCAGGCCGGCGCCTCCGCTATGACCTCGGGTCTGTCCTCACTCCACAGGACTTGGCCTGAGAGCAAAGTCACTGCTTCCTGCTCGAAGAACCCGTCCCATGT